CTTTATAACTCTGCACAGGAGTCATTTTTCACAACATTGCCTCACCCTCCAATTTGTCTGTAGCGGTGGAATGCAGATACGTTTTCGATGAATACCAAAGCTAATGGCTTTTGTTGAACATTTTAATTGTTTTAATGAAATGTCTCACTAGACCAAAAGCCTTCATTGGTTTGCTGATGTTTGTTCCCTTTCAACCTCGTACCCATTAGCCAATACTCAGTGATCCATCGCAAGTGGCAGTCCTTCCACAATTGAGCCTGATTGAATATACGGTTTGTATGACTCATTTTGTAAAATTAACTAATCATGCCCGGAATAAAAGATATCCACTCTGGCTGGAGGTGAAAGTCCTGCAACTCTATATTGTTATATTTCAATAGGTTTGCTGTCATACGCTCACATGTCTGTGTACTTTGTGCTATTTTGGAGTTACTGTATAATGTCATGACAGTATAATCATGCATGTCAGATTAAAATATTATATGATTAAACTCCAGATATCCAACATCAGGCAGTAATTTAAAAGAAAATCAGTGTATCGTTGTGAAAAAAGACACAACATTCAACATTTATGGGCTGGCTTTATTTCCCTCTCGGCTGTCTGTGTGTGACAGACACCACAAAGTGCTTCACAATAAAATATGAGAAAAAGCAGAGACATTAAAAACAGACAGTTGCATATAATCAGACATGGACAGATCAAATAACGGCAAGTCTAAACAGATGGGTCTTTAACTTCTTTTTAAAAATGTCCACAGAGCTCATAGCTCTCAGATACAGAGGAAGACAGTTCTAAAGGCACAGTCTTCTTTTGTTTGAAGTCATTTTCAAGAAACAAACCAGCAGACCCTGATCAGAAGACCTCAAAGTCCTGCTAGTGTTATTTGGCTTGAGCATCTCAGTGAGCTTGAAAATGCAAGCAACAACAGATAAACACTGGCTTATAGCACTCTGCGTGTGTTTATTGACTGGAGACATTTCACCAGCTCTGATAGATAAAAAAAAAGTAACTTACATAAACACTGCTGTGTATGTTACTGATGTGATTTTTAATATATTTTAGTAGTATATTCAAAATGGAATAATGCAGTTGCGATAACCATGTTGTTGCTGTATTTCATTTTGAAGTAGCTCTGTTACCTCAGGTCTATCTGGTCTGTCATTCTTTAGCAGGCGTTTGTCAAATCAAGGGAAAGACATCCTTTATTTTAATCTTGCTCTCATGGGACCAGAAACATCTTCACTATAATTACAACAAAAAAGTCTCAACTTTTCATCACTTAGTAAAAGAAACAATCTTTTAGCTGTTGATGGGATAATTCTTGGTGTATAAAAAGAGACAGAGATGGAAGATTGGATTCCACAAACAGATGTATCCTTTATAACGCGGAGGACAAACAGTTGTTTTAGATCAGCGGGAGTCTTTCTCTTTTTCTGCAGACAAAAAAAACAATCTTGACTATAAACTTGACAAGTTGTCAGCTGTCGACAATCTGGCGTTCTCAGTGTGTCACAGCAGGAAAACAAAACAGCAACAGAACACAGATGCTGCCTCGAAGTCTGTGAAACTGTGTGTCGTCATGTCACATCTTCTTTCATACTCATGAAGTAACTTTTGTTTATCATACAAAAACCCTTATCATTGAGCCTTTAACTCTAGCCTGGACATTGATATTTCATTTTCCTATCAACCTGACAGTTAAATCCGCCCTGCATCATCCTCAAATGTAAATCTTTAAAAATATTCTGAACTTAACCCTGATCTAAATTGAAAATTAAAGTACTCAAGAGCAAAATGACAGTTCTCCTTTTGATCTCTCTCCATTATTATCATGTATCGATTCCAACCAAGCAAGACTCATGAGAGCTTTTGCATTTGCATTTTACCGGCTGTTCAAAAGTTTTTCAAAGCCTCATAAATGAATACTATTATCCGCAACAGGAGCTGTGTCCTGTGGTTCAAACTCAGACACCTTATATTTCAAACAGAACAACGAGAGAAGTTAGTTCTTCTTACCTCGGTTTGGAGTGTTAAAAAATCCCTGTCCTTGGGAAAATATCCATTGAAGGTGTATTTTGGACGGGGTGAATCAAAAACAATAATTTATGAGCCGTGATTTATGCTCAGATTGTGGCATCTTTGGTGCAAGGAGCCTCCTTTACACTGTTTGCTTTAGTCCTTTATATCCCTTTATTACATCCATGCAAACAGCACACTGACTTTATGTTGCTTTTTTGCTTGAGTGCAAGTACTTTCGAATGTTTTAATGGGCTAATGGACCTATTTTGCTTATCGTTGCGCTTCATTTAATGCGGCACAAACATGAGAAGAAATGCATTAAAAAGGGACTTTAGGTGACTGACTGTTGTTCCTGTGACTCAACATTTCTAGAACTGTAGAGTGTGGATAGGCTTTCATGCAAAGCACAGTTTGCATTGCCACAGTGAATGAGTTGATAATGCTATCCACTTTATTAAACTCTATATTGCAATACTATTTAAAGCTGTCAAGAGGGAAATTCCTGTACGTGTCGATCTTAGTGACCACTAAGGACAGTGTTGTTATGTCGTCTCCATTAACTGATCCCGTCCTTCATATGTCTAAGTACTGTTTTCTGACTGTAAAGAGGCATACTGTTGTCTTTACAATGTCTAGCGTATTACTCACTTTGCCTGTTTCCTGCTGAAAATGAAAAATAAAGTCACTTCTGGACTGCGTGCTGCAAATTGTTGCATCTGACCCTGTGGCAGTGTTAAAAGCAATATATGACTGCAGCTTTCGTAGGACAGACAGAGCCATTAGTATTCATTTAAGTCTGTTTTATAACCAACTCAAAACTCCTAACCAGTTTGTTTCTGCACTAAGCAAGAGCTGTGCGATGTGCCATAGTGTCACAGACACACATACACACACCCACGTGGATGACTGTTCATCAGATGAATGCATAGAGCAGGCTGGGTGAAAGAGAGAGAGAGAGAGAGAGAGAGGGAAGAGATAGAAATCAAAAGCGAGGGATGATAACAGAGGCCCAGCTGTGTGTCCTGTTATTCAGTTAGAAATCAAGTTAAAACCGTGTAATGAAAAAGTACCGCTCAAATTATAATCACACGGCCCTGTGTTTTCTTCAGACTTACCTTCAGAGTACTCAGCTCGGCCTGAGGCCTTACAAACAACTCTCATCTCAACCTTGAGCCCTAAACATTTGCCTCCACTGAGGAATGATAACTAATTTCTCCGGTTTACAGAGATGAAGAATCATTTCGTTTGTAGTAGGCGGGGTAATTGTGTTATTTATTTTTCTCTTCATAATGTCTGAATTAGTACCAGAATGATAATACCGCCTCTGCTTCTTCACAGTATTTTATTTCTTTTTAGACCTTTTTTTTTTTTTTTTTCAAGTGAGAATCAGTGATGATTTGACTTTTCTCTCCAGTTTGAAATCATTGCCAATAAAAAAAAGAACACCGCCTGAAAGTCTCTTTCTAAGATTCATTTAATGACTCAAACATGCCTTGGTGGACATATCAAAGTTACAAGTGGAAACCAATGTGTACAAGTGGGTTGCTTATACAACTTCAGAGTTAACAGGCATCTTCATAAAATTGAATCAGAAATGAAGCACTGTACCAGTGCTAGAAAATTACAATCTAGTGCTTAAGATGTGAGGAATCCTAATGACATTCAGAGGCTTTTTTCATTTTTATTAGTAGGATGATCTGCATCTTCTGCACTTGTTAGAATGCTTTGTCTCATGATATCTACCTAATACATTTTAATTTTAAGAGGATGTGGTATTTGTTGTGTAATAAAACAAAAGTAACAAGGATAGGGAGCTATTGTGAGTTTTATGGACCATCTGAAGGGGAAACAACAAATTAGTATTAGTAATTTCAAAGTTCCAGACAATTCAGTAAAATCGAGATTTTTATTTAATGTTCTAGCTATGAAAATGAATTACACTGAACACTATTTTACACAATTATGTATGAACATGCATTAATTGTGAAGCACATCCTAAGAAGTGAAACTGTAATCAAGGAAGAGTTAATGTATATATTTTTCTTTTGGGTCATTTTTCATTTTTAGACGTACAGACTATTCTCTGCTTGTGCTCTACGAGTAGAATAAAAGGCTGAATTTGATTCAACATGGATGCAAATTTCTTCATGCTACCATCAATCAACAACTGTAAATCAGAAGAAATGTACTAAAAGCATCAGCGATCACATGAAAGTGAATCATTTGACTTGAATTTTTTGACTTCTTCACCCATTAAATGTCTTTGCTGGGTGTCCAGGTTCATGTTAGGATAAGCCCAACACTCTTTGTGGTGTTTGTTGAGTCATGCTGTTGTAGAGATATTTCCAAGAAATAGTAACCATTGCACGTGCTTTCTAAGAAATTCCAGGAATGCTTCTCAGAATAAAATTACTTACAGATAATTCTTCTCCAACCCAGCCACTTCCTGCTTTTTTTTTTTTTTCAGAAGTATCGGATGTTTGAGTCTGTAGCCTATCAGATTCAAGCTAGAGTTTGGTGAACTTTTGTGTGGGAGGTCACACTGAGCTAATCCTATTTGTAATCAAGGCTTTCTTCTTTCTCTGATCCAGGAAGGGACCGTGTTGTCTTTTGAGCGATCACAATCGCAGACTATCGCCCAGGGTCGAGCTGTGTGAAGTTATTTGGCGTGTTAAGTACGCCTGTTTTAGTTTGTCGTTTGAAACATGTTCACTGTGCTTTGATGATTAGCCTGTGGCTTTGTTTTCCACGGCAGAGCTGCTGTTGTTGAGTTGTGGTTGTAGAGTTGTTGAGATGGTGTGATAACTGCTGTCGTTAGGACGTTTGGATCAGTAGATAAATGGAAGAGCTGAAGAGTTCTTTTCAGGTCCACTTCATTAATGTCAGCATACACACGTCTTGAAATTTCACTTTTTCTGCTTTTGAGATGATTAATGTGCCTCTATGTTTGTCCTTGTCTCCTTCTCCACTTTCTCTGCAGCCCCTGCAGAGCCGTTGCTGTGCAAGTTTGCTGACGGAGGCCAGAAGAAGAGGCAGACCCAGGTCAAGTATCCCCAGAATGGTCGACCATGGACACGGGAGGGAGAGGTGAGGCTTGCAAGGTTTATTTAATCATCAATAAAAGCTTTCCGCTACCCTTCATAAAAGATCCCCTTAAGCAGCTGCAGGAGCTTTTTCTTGGAAAAGGCAGAAAAATGTCTTTCAACCATTTTTCTAAAACATTCTCCCTTCACCCTCTGCCACTATAAAAAAAAAGCAACTTTGAATGTTTCCTCAGGCAATACTTTGCATCAGCCGACATTTCCTTAATCTACATGAACACTTCATTTCTCACAGTGAGAATAAGTACACAGTGCCGTCTTCGATGGTTTTTTAACAAGGATTTGTAAGGTTAACAAAACAAAAAGCGGTGTTATTCAAACTTAGTCACCGCTTTGAGAACTGTGTTTCTACAAACCCTCCTTTCAACCATTTCCGGCTCAGATTTCTAGCAAAAGCGCAACAGGAATCCAGTCAAAACAGTTAGAAAAGTGAGGATGAAATACAGTTGCATGCGGCAGATTTTCTGGAGCGTTTGAAGCCCAGTGTCTACATCTCCTTCACACAATAAAAACCTGATAATAGGTCTAAAAAGACATCATTTCCATAAACTGTGAATATCTGGCTGATGTTTTCTTTGACATCAGTTTCTTTTTCAAATCGAACCAACTTTCAATGGCTTGACAGGCCCCCCTGCGGCTTCATTATCAGCTTTCATTTCCAATAATATACTTCAGGACGGATTAGAGAAGCTGCTGACAGTATGAAAGCTGGCATATACAAAGGATGATGAATTTGAAATTCAAGGTTTCAGCTAGACCCCAAATGCCAAATTGTTTTTTTTTCCTTTTGTTGAACCTCCCACCTCCAGTCTGTCATCTTCAGACTAAAAATGAAACCTCATGTAACAGAGTGAAGGCAGAGTGACTGTTGCACAATGCAGAGAGTTCAGAAGTTGCTGGTGTCGATACCAAAGTTTAAATTTACAGAACAAGGGAAAGTGAATAATAATGTCGCCACCCAGACACCGAGTGCAGTTTGAACTGTTTCCCAACATTCACAACACACACAGATGTTAGGAAAGAGCAAGGGTGGTGAAGCGAAGTGAAATGGAACCAGGCTGAAACAAGGGGCCGCCACAACACAAACAGGATGCCACAGTGTGTGTGTGACCTGCGTGTGTGTCTGTGTGGAGCTGGAGGGGATTGTAGGTTTAGGCTTTATTTGTGAGCGCAAAGACTGATGCAACACATGGTCAACAAGAGAGGCCACAGGAGTGAGTCTGGAGCCCTCTTGTCAACATTTATGAATCATCAGCTGGATTTAAAGTTGGTGATACATTTTATTGGGATTACTCACACATTTGTCGGTGGTACAAGTCCAGACAAGCCCGATCTGGCCTTGCAGAGGACATCTCTTTGAAGTTCATACATTTAGTGAAGCCAGGTCTCTGAATCCTGGCAGACTAACATAGACATCTGGCTCTAGATGGGATTCATTTGGACTCATCTTTAGTCTTCACACTGGACCCTGATCTCCCCAAACCCCTAAGACCTTAATGAATCCAGACCCAGTCCCTTTGAGGTGGCATTGTGTCTCTTTGTCCTCAGTCATTGTTTTTGTTTCTTTGTCATTATTTGTGTCTTTAGGGGCATTTTGGGTGTTGTTTGAAGTCCAGTATTTTTTTATGTTATTACTTTGTGTTTCTTGAATTGCTTTTCCAGCTGTTTGTTGTTTTGTCTCTATTTGTGGCTGTTCTGCGTTTATTTTAATCCGTTTTATGTTTCTTTCTTACGTTGTACCTCCCTCTGTTGTCAGTGTGGATGTTTCACTAAATGTTATGTGTCACTTAAAATAGATGTATTATTTTAATGGGCCCTCCTGACCATCTTGGCCCCTATAGGCAAATAGTGGTAACATATAAAACACTCCCATATCACTGGCATTATTACGCAGCAGTGAGTAATGTGGTCCAGTCTTCACATTTAAACGAAACTCTCAGGAAATGTAGAAGACGAGATGCAAACATAAAGCTGCTTCAGAGAGCTGATCTCCTCCGGCTCTGTTCAAACACACAACTCAATACATCGACAGGGAACCAGCCGTGAATATAAATGTACCTCAAGGTGAAAACAAGGATTTCTGTGTACATGTATTGTATATTTTACCTGCTTGAAATCAGATATTGGTTTCAGAACTGGTTTGAAAATGAACCCATGCTCTGGAATGATAAATGTTTTGGTATTTGGTGTCATCAATGTCTGGCACTCCTTGTTATTGCCTCTGTAGTCGATATTTTCCCGGTCTTGGCAAGAAAGCGTGTTTGGGGGAAAACCAAACATCTCAGCCGAGTTCAACACCGGGGCACACTTTCAACTCGTGTGCCAATTTGGAGAGGAGCAACTTGTGTAGAATATTGAGCAAGCACAAATTACTTGTGTAGGATGCAGATATAAGGGGGGGGGGGGGGTAGAGAAAAGAAAAATAAAGATTAGAGGTCTCAAACTTTGTTAACATTGCCAAAAGGCAATCAAGTGAATAAGGATCTTTTTCAAAGCTCAGCAGCAACAAATACAGTCTCGTTCATTTGCACTTGATAGACGATAAACACAGACGGAGTGTATCTGATGTACATTTGACTTAAAGTGGCAACATTACATAACATGAAGGAGGAGGATCTTTTGCAACTTAAATACACTGTTTTAGCTTTGAGTGTCCTTTGTTACTGATATAATGCAACTGGAAGTTAAAGTCTTTTTAATTTCATTATTCTGGGTCACTGAGGTTTGCTAAAGGAAAATGACAATGTGGTGCCTGCCTGTTGTTCTATGAGACGCCCTATCTTCAATGTCTGTGTGATAGCTTATCATAGATTGATGTTATGATGTGACCAGCAAATTGAATTACCATATTCAGTGTTTATTACCAGAGGGTTTGAAAATGGCAAAAGGTGTTTAGAAAAGGTTACATTCAGTAAAGAAGTTTATTTTTGACTGATAGAGTTGCCAGTTTAGTGACTGACACTACTGATGTTTGCTGTTACAACAAGCACCATCTGTGTTTTATGACAGCTCAGACACACTAATTTCAAAATGTAGCAGTTTCCATTTCTATCTTTTTTTCCCCAGATAGTTGCAATTTTCCATCTTTGTCTGCTTTAAAAGACCCCTAATCAGAAAGAACTGGAAGTTGTATGACAAACACTAAACAGGAACAGGTTTGCTGCCTCCTCGGATCTTTTTGGACAGTGTGGATGTATGCCTGTTTCCCACAAAAAGGTTCTTTTGTGACTTTGTGTTTATATAACCAACATCTTAGTTATATTTGTGTTAGTGTTGCTAAATACAAGTGAAGTGAAACAGAGAATCCCCCTTTGGTTTTGAAGAGGTGGTTGTGGAAATGACCGTAAAGGAAGTCATAACAAGTTCAAATACTTAATCTCAATTGATGAAGACTGTTACGGAGTCATTATCAATAAGGCAATTTTTGTTTTTATATGTATTATATTGTACCTAAGCATCCTCCTGTCAATGTTTTTTTAAAATGAGAGATCATCTTTTTTCCCTAAAACCTTTTCCAAAATGACTTTTTTTGTGACAACAGAGCAGTGTTTCACATGCTCACACCTAACCATGCCAAATCATTTCATTACACATAATAAGTGCTTTGAACTGGCTCATCTGAATGTTGTAGTGTTATTGAGGACAGCAACATCAGCTGCTTTTTTATTTAGAAGGTCTTTGCATCGCACACATTTGTTAATATTAGGGATGCCAAAGCTTTTGTGTTCAGATAATATTCTGCCTTGCTGCTGTATTAAAAGTCCATTGAATGACCAAATATCTGTTTAACATCAACATCCTAATGAGAGAGTAAACATACATCATTCATCAGAAATATTAAGAATTTTAACCTTAATTTTTCTCTTTCCTTTCTTTCTCCAGAGTGGCATGGCGTTGTCGTATGATCCCTCTGCGATGCAAAATGGGTAGGTTTAAATTTGTCTTCTCAAAATGACTCTATACATCTTTAGATTCCTCCAAACACTACTTTTGATTCACATTCATTGTCAAATATTTGTCAAGCGAAACCCACAGTATAGCTTGAGAGCCTTCATCTGAGCCTTTAGAGAAAGACACTCTCTCACACCAGACAACCTGCAGAGATGAACACACATCAGCTTCAATCAGCAGTATTAGGTACAAGAGCACTTGCATGCAAATGAGCAGACCACACACATGCTCATGAATTCAAACAGATACAAGAGACGCGAGTCGTTACCACACTCACGCACACAAAAACACACAGACTCTCTTTGTCTTACCCTGTCGCGCTCTCGCCCTCTTCCTCAGATCTGAGAGGCGCACGCAGAGCCTTTATTAATGCACCTATGCATACAAGCTGTCAGACATGTAGGTTTTGATTGCAGACAGGAAAGTTGGGCGGTGTTGCAGCACCGCTGTAAGACTTTCGTCAGCTATCTGCAGTGCTCTCAGGCTGAATGCAGACAGCTGAGTGTCTGCCTGTTTCAGGGTGGGGGAAATTGGAGATCGGTCCCGTCTGCTAGGAATGCTGCTGGTGCTGCGATCCCAAGGGACACTTCTCTCCAGCTCCGTGTCTCTCTTGTTCTCCTTTTTGTCAACTCGGTACTACTCTTTGTGTCCATACTTTCCCTGTACCTCATTGTCTTTAATGTTTCCCTGTTGTGCACCAAACCTTCTACTTCCCTTTACTTAAATCATACATTGTCCTTTCAGCTATTTTTGATTCTCCCTTTTCCTTCCAGCAACACAACGTTTTCCTCTCTTGTCGTCGACTTGTTATTTTTCATACTCTCGATTTGCATGTAAGATGTGTGTGTGTGTGTGTGCGTGCGTGCGTGCGTGCGTGCGTGCGCGCGTGCGCGCGTGTGTGCGTGTCCTTTTGCATGTATAAATGCATGCTAACACATGAGCATCTGTGCACTCTCGGTGCTTAAGCCCTCTCCAACCTCTCTTCCGAGGTCACTTGAGCTCCTTCCGGCGAGGCACTAAATGACTGTGAAATGCTAATGCAGCTAATTAGAGAGGAGGAAAGGGGGGCAGGATGAAAAAGAAAGACTGGGCAGGTCAATAGGAGGGCAAAGGCAAAAATAAAGTCAGCCCAAGGAGAGGGGAAGGGTATGAATCAATTACAGGTTTGCAAGTCTCTCCAAGCTTCAGGATGGCTGGTTTTAAGGTCCGATGCCAATCTGGTGTTATTGGAAACATGTGTCCCAACTGGCCAGACTGCATTGGCTTTCTGCCTCTCCTCTAATTTATCAGGGAGACACAAAATTCACTTTCTCCGGGTCCCTTTTAGCCCAATTCCCCGCCTCCAACTAGTCTGTTTGGCATCGTATTGTTTCTCTCTTTCTCTCTCCCTTTTCCCTCTTTAACTTTCTCCCCTTTCATCTTCCCACACGCATAAACACGTATATATTTTAGCATGCCGGCCAACATTCGTCCGCCGAAAAGTCACTGAGGTCGGCACTAAATCATCCTCTAATTTTTCAGGGCAAACTCCTGACAGTGCGGCTAGGTCACACCGGGGATTCATGGAGAGGTTTTTAAATTCAATCTTGAAGTAATGTTCTGCTCCCAATTACATGTTTAGTGTATTGTTTAAATAGCCGTGCTGGAGTCCCTATTGACAGCGAGCTGCTCAGGACTAATAGCCCCCATCAATAACCTTGGATCTGTCCTCTACCTACTCTTTCTCTCTCTCTCGATACACGTCACTCTAATGAAAAATACGATAAACACAATCAGAGAACCATATCGAATAACACGGCCGCGCTCGCTCATTTGTATTCATCAGTGATAGTAATACAGTTTCTCTAATACAAGTCATACATTAATTGTCAGTCAAAAAGATGGATCCGCACTGCTACATAACCAGGAGAAGAGCTTTTTTCTTCTTGTCTCTGATCTCCACTTTAAGATGTTCCAGTTCTTACTCCAACCTTCACTTTTCTATCTTTTTAACCTTTTCATTTTAAAAAGTGAGCCAATTTGAAACACGTCATTAAATGCAGACTTACAGTGCTATTGCTTAAAGCTACTACAATCAATCTTTAATCAATGTTGTTGCTGATGGTTGACTTTGTAGACATACTGTACAGAGGAATCAGTATACAGCTAATTTCTATCAACAGATTCTGTAAATGACCCGATTATTAGAGGTGGATGTTTTTTTCGATTTCTGTTTTTGTTGAAGTTGTATCATCTAGTTTTACATGTGAAGGGCATAAAAGGCAGAAGGAGATCCAGCTCGGTGGCCATCTGACGACACATAGCTCATACTAATCTCTATGAACAGATACCTGCGTGCAAGTGGAGCTAACAATCCGCTTTAGTATATGGACTCTGAACTCTGATTCTAGTCTCACTTCTTATATTGCCAGTCAGACTGTAATCAATAGCAATGCATAGAAAATCATTATTTGGCTGTGAGTCATTGATAGCTAACCGCAGGCTACACTGGAACCTACAAAAGTTGGCCATCGCTCAAAGAGGGAAAAATTGTGGTCAGATGATAGTCAATGGGTTCCAAGATTTGTGTTCTAAAAAGATACACGAGCAAATAGATTATACGTATGTTTGATGATTCAACTGAAGTTGAAAATCCCAAAAGGAAAGTTGATGAAAAATCATGCCCCTTCAAAATCTCAGTAATTTGAGCCTATGTCAACAAATGTAAGACAGAGCACACAATCAAGCTTCCGATGAACCACAGCTGTACCTAACAAGAGGAAACATATTGTGCTAATAATTCATGAGATTTCTTTTCTAGTGTGTTAGGAAGTGGACCATGTTGTATTCTTGTAAAATAGAGAGTAACCCTTGTAGCTTTGCTCTCTATGTACCGCTATATACTTAGACTCCAACTCACCAACTGGAGAATAAAAATCTGTGTGATCACAATCACGCTCTGGAGCTTACCACATGTAGTTAGAAACCAACTGCATTCATAAGGCCGGGATTTCAGCAGTTCAAAAATATCTGAGGCTTTGTAACTCACAGCTCTCACTCTCACTGACCAAACATATCTAAAGTGAAACATGAAGTGCAAGAACAGAACAAAAGAGCACCTCTGCAACCCATTTCACTCTGAAATGAGTGATGTGTGATGGTGTCATATCAGAGTTGCACCAATCCAGCCACTTTTTCTTGATTTCTGGAGCGTTTACTGAGCCTGACTGTCATCTCAGATGTCTGATACTGAAGATACTGTATAATCTGCATAAGACAGTAAATGCTAAAAATGGGTTATTTGGTAAATAAACCAACCTTTCTTAAAATAATTGAAAATACTTTACTTCAGACCATTCACAATATCCTTCTAACAACACAAATCAGAGTGTATGTAATAAGAGAAAGCATTGACCGAGTACAGTATTAGACATGATTTCCAATTTAAAACCTAATAATTTTTATTGAAGTTGTTGTAGACTTACCTGATGAGGATTTTGAACTCGGCTTGGTTGGTAAGATCAGGCTTTTATACTGAAAATTTAGCATTTAGCGTTGTTTTTTTAAGTATTAGACTGATTGTCACATGCCTCATTGCTGTCTACAAAACTAGGCTGTCTACAAAACTAGGCTGTCTACAAAACTAGGCTGTCTACAAAACTAGGCTGTCTACAAAACTAAGGAGATGTCAATTATAATTTGATCAGCCACATTCAAACAGTCTTCATCAAAATGAGCTGTTTGAAATTGTTATGCAGATTTTATCACTCCGAATATTGAATGAGATTTTCAGCATTTATATCGTAAGTTCATTTTTTGCTATTTCCAGCCATATTTCAAAAAGGCTTTGGGTACTTAATCTCCCATTGAAGTCTCTTAGCATTTCATACAGTGGTGGCTGACATTGGACGGAGAGGTCTTCTCTGTGTCTCTGCCTTGTTCTCCCCTCCCTCCATTATTCAGTCAACAGACACTTTGGGATCGATCGGGCAGTGCAACACGGCCTGGCGGATGAAACATGTCCTCTCTAGGTACACGATGATAAATAAAGCACTGTGAGCCAAAGCATTCTACCTTTGCAGGAGGGCGTGAGAATGGAAAAAAAAAAAAAAAAGAGAGCGAGAGAAATGAGAAGGCTAAGCAAAGGTATAGGAGGAGAAGTAAACAGTATATAATGCAGATGTTACAGATGCAGGTTTCTCTGTAAGGTGAAATATATGTAGGTGGGAACATGAAGGGTAATACTGAAACATTTCACCCACTCACACTATAAGGTGATAATTCATTATTATGCACAGTGGTGGAGCCGACTGCTTTGTAACATGATGAGCACTCCGGTGCAGTGTCAGGTCTTATTTAGAGATGTATTTGATGGTGTGGTGCTGAGTGGAGATGCAATATTTATTGTTTCCATGACAGCCTTGATGATGTCTGATCCGTTTTGTCAGCTGGGTCTTGATGTGCACTGGGTGGTTGGAAACAAGGAGGAACAAAAGGCTCGTTTTCACCTTTGCATGTGGCTACATATTGCTAGCTAAATGTCTTTCACATGCTTTTGGTTGAGTTTAAGACAACTTGTAAGCTTGGTGATGTACATGATTTCAAATGAAACATCTTCCTGTTTGTTGTCTCAGGTTCTACTCTTCGCCGTACAGCATCTCCACTAATCGGATGATTGCACAGACGTCAATCACACCCTTCATTGCTGCCTCCCCTGTCTCGACGTATCAGGTGGGTTGACTCTATTTTAAAAATTTTAGCTTAGCCTTAAAAGGCCTACAAATGTTTGATTTACCAATATGACTTTTTGAACAGCTTTGGAAAATGTCTGTCTATAATAGGAAACAAGTTTGTGTTTTCATGTGAATTCCTCAAAGTACAGATTATTTGCTATGTTGCTTTCTTTACACATCAAGGCTTCTTTGAATAGTTTTTTTTTTTTTTTTTTTTTTTTACTATGTTGTCATATCAGAGCCAATACTGCAAAGAAAGTTCAAGCTTGAAACAAAAATTCTACTTTGTTAGTTTTTTGGCTTTCTGGCCAAGAGATCTTGCAAAGAAAGAAAATAACTTTCAAAGGCAGACACAGCTCCAATATAGCATCCCACGGGCATCTAATGCAACCTGATAGCAATAGCATCTCGAGCCAAGTTAAGAAATGGTCGAAATATTCCCCGCATGGAGCTTTAGTTTCATAGCTGCAAATCAGTGACAGAAGAGGACAAGTATTGTCTGTGATGCAGATGACTTGTTATGTTCAAAAAGTCCCATTGTTGTAAAAAGGAGGATGAATGAGACACGCTGTTGAAATGTTTTATTTCTGCCATGAACATAGTTCATTTGAATTCAATCCCACATACAGCATCCTTGTGTTTGAAAGAACTACTGGAACAACAGATGCATGATAATCCACTGCTGAAATTGACATTTGCTAGAAATGAAAGTCCCCAGCTGTTTGAGAATATTACTCAACCGTTTAGAATATAAGAGTACACATTTGTGATCTGTTTTTAAAGATTTCGGTCTTCAGTTTGAACAAATGAGGGCTTTCAGTGTAACACACAGGGGAAGTCTGAAAGTGTTGAGAGGCCGATTAACACATTGTTGGTTTTGGTTTTGGTCTTTTCGTGGGATTTGCTGCCAGAAAGACAAAATATCAAATAACAGCTGCCTCATCTTTAGGGAAGTACACAAATGAAGTGGGACTAGAGCTTTTGAAATAAATAATGACTATTTCATATTTTAAACTGATCCCATACACAAGCACGTGAGCACTTTGTAGCAGTTTTTTCTGTGTGTAGTCTTTGCACACGCAGGTAAAGCAAGTAGAGCTTATCTTTTTGAGGGAAGCCTTTAACAACAGAAATTGAGTTGTCATCTCTCTCCATTAAAGACAAGTCTTAGTCTAGCTATGATAAAACACAGGCTTATATTGCAGCACTCCTCCCATCGATCTTTCATTCTCAGGCACAAATCCTCCTTTTGTCTCCCGCTCTCTGTTCCCATGTGCTGCATCCTCTCTCTCTCTCTCTCTCTCACGCACAAACAGTTCTAATTCATGTCAAAGCTGGTTGGTGAAGAAGCTGTACTTCTTTGAGAGACTGACTCAACACTCGATACTCATTTTTGTCAAACACAGACTTTAAAACAAACAGGAAGTCCTCCCCTCCCCCCAGGTTCTCCATAGCACAGCTGCAAATGAGACAGATGAATGCAAAGACACACCTTTAACAGAGCAGATTCACGCACTCAGGCACAAACACATGCTGCCTCTTTAAGGTGAATTAACCCACCTTGAACAGCTCCCTATAGACGTACGCAGGTGATCGAACATACACATATATAATTAGTACATACATGTGACAAAAGGGTCTTCAGGGACTTGTTCCTCCTCATGTTTCGGATGGGCAGTGGGGTAGCAGAAGGAGATGAAAGTGTTTATGGCCAAGACCAGCTTTGATGATGAAACCTCCTCTGTGAAGCAGTAATTATTAGACTGTATTGCTCTCTGTGGTCTTCATATCCTCTTATAATTACAACATAACATACTGTATAGTGGACCCTTTGTTACTGCAGTAATATTCTTTAAGACACACTGCCGCAGGGACCAAAGCTCCGAAATTGGCTTGTAAAGACTCGAGCTAATGATTAATTTTCTCCCTGGTTTTCTCATTTTTTGCTCCCTTCCTGTCATTCTGTCTTCCAATTGTCCTTCTTTATGTTCCCTCTCCCTCAATTCTTTATCCACTTATAACAATCTTCTTTTTGATCTTCCCCTTCCTCTCATCTCTCCCTGACCTCCTCTTTGCATCCACCTACTCATGCCCACCCCCTCCTCTTTTAATTACTTTCTCCTCCTTCCATTCTTCCTATTTCCCATCTTTCTTTTTTTCTGTTTCTTCATCATCTCTGATCGCATCTTTGTCACCTCCACCTTTTCTTAATGATCTCTTCTTCATCTTCTCTCCTCTCGCACAGGTCCAGAGTACATCTTGGATGCCACATCAACAGTATGTTATGCAACCTACAGTAAGTTTTTCTAGCAGCCTCTTCTTTGTGTTTTTCTTTCTTAAGTTTTCTTTTCCCAGTGGAGTTGTTTTCTCCGTTTTTATGACACTTTTCACTGCCTTCTTGTTACCCTACATTCCTGTCTGTCATCTCTTTGTGTTAGCATGTCTCTGTAATTCCTTCTCATGTGCTTTTTATCCCTCTAAATGAAACAAAAAAACGATACATCACTATTATTCTCACTGAAAAAAGTCTGATAACACGTGTCAATGTCTGTGAAACTGTTTGCCACAGGCATCCATGGAGGGAAACTATAAATGTTTTTTGTGCTTTAATGCTGACTATAATTTATTTTAACAATATTATATATAAATGTTTTTTTTTTTATTTTAAGATATATTTTGATACAAAATAAGAAAAAGTATAAATTGAAATATTCCAAGTAATATCCTAATTTATCAAACTAGGAGTGACCAGTGTCAGAGCTAAAAGGAAATGCTTGAGCCTTGTTTCTAAGTTCAAGCCTGCTGAATCCTCGAAGCCGACTGAAGACCTCAGAAGAGCTGAGTGTAAAATCTGTAATAAAAGGTTGCCCCCTGCTGGTGTGAAATGAAACTGCAGGTTCAAGTTGTAGTGGTAAGAAAAATAAATATAGGTACCAATGATTCTTTGTAGGGTAAGGTATGCAACAACAAAAACATCAATATAAAATACATTCACAATAAGTCACCTTATATGAAACTTCTGAAGTATAAAAATCTCTGCACTAAACACACATTCTCATACCGGCTATTTCATACAGACACACATATCTATTCATATAGCCATGTACAATAGTCAGTCAATAACACTCTAAGTGTATCCTGAAGATACTCTTTCTTCTCACATACTCCCTGACACAAACAAATATCAAGCTTTGCTTTAAGTCAGAGACTGTATACAGCTATAGGTATAGGAGATTCAGCTGTGAGCCTCCACAGGATTCACCCTGAGCTCAACGTAAAGCCTCAGCTGACACCCTGCCTGTCTGACATGTAGACACAACAAACAAATCTAGCAAATCTCTACCCCTTCATCCACATGTTCTTCAGATTCAGACAACTTTATATATCTCAGAGAGGCAATTCAGTTTCACAGTCTACCAAGGCTTAATAAAAGAAATCAAGACAATATGAAGGAAACAAACCCAGTCACAGAAGCATCCAGACAATTACATTTTCATGCCAGTAACAACAGCAGGTCATCAAATGAGAAGCCAGGTCCAAAAAACATTAAAGAAAAAAAATACAATGCCAGAAATGTATTTAATAAATAGATTCATACTTTAATAAATCCTCCCTAAGTGTACAGGGACTGGCCATAAAGCAGTTACAGCTGTTCAGCATTCAACATCCTGATACCTGAAGGAATAAAAGAGTTAGAGTTTCTGTGTTTTTTCCTTGGAGGGGCAAGATATTGCGTCCAGAGGGCAGTAAAAAAAACAGGCAGGTGAAAGAATGTGTCGAGGTTGATTTATTATCATTTTGGCTTTCTGGACCACACGTTCCTTCCACAGGAAGACTTTTAGCTGGACTACAAAGATCTTGGAGCAGACCTTTACCATATGGTTCAGACTGTTATTGTCCTTCACAGTTAACCCATTAAACCAACAGATAAAAGAACATGTTAAAAGAATTTCAATAAAAGGAATAATAAAGGCTTCTCAAAATGCCCTTAAAGAGACACTAAAATAATTCTCTGTTGACCATTTTTAACTCTTATATCTGTGTTTTTAACAATCCTCAGTTCAGAATCGCACACTGTTTTAACATCTTTGTTTGTGTCAACTATTTAAACATTTTCACCACTGATAATGCTGGATTCAGTTTTACAACAGTTCTTCCTGAAATCAATGATGAATGCCTTTTTTTCATACCTTTAAGATCCAGGCAGTTGCCATTTAAAAAAAAACTACTAAAGCTCCACAATGGCCTGACTCAGAGCCCTGAAGAAGTGAAAGCAGTGCAGTGTCATCAGATAACTAAACCAAATAGCTGCCATCTTGTGAAGTTCTACAGTGCTCTGAGTACATGAGAAAAAACAGGGGGCTAAGGACGCAGCCCTGAGGAGAACCAGTGTTGGACAGTAGAACCTTGGACTGGTGACCATTTACAAAAACGTGCCGAATTCTATCTGTTAATAAAGGTTATAAGAAACATGAAATCTGACCAGGCAACTTGAAATTAGAGGAGACTCATGAAAATTAGGGTCTTGCATGAGATTTCATTTTCAAGGGGCTTATACACGTCTAAAATGAAAAGCTTTCTGTTGTTCACACCTTTTGCAGCTTGAAAGAAAAACTATAGTTGATCAAGTTGACCTTTGATTAAGGAGACAACGTTTTCTTTTAAAAGGTTCACAAATTTTTTCCTTGCACGTTATGTGTAAGCAGCTGAAATTTTCAAATCTCTTTGTTTATTTGACTTACGCACAGGAATTATTGTGAATGTTTTCAAAATGGGGGGGGGAGTTGTTTCCCGGCCAGATTCAGCACACATCTGAAAAAGTTAAGTGAACACGTCACTAAGCTGTTCAGAACAGTAACACAGTTGGGGTCCACAGATCAGGTCAGGGCTAGCATCTTTCCCTACATTAACGCTCTCAAATAGAGCTGTGACTGTTTCCTGAGAGATCATTTAATCACTTCAGAAGAACAAGAGATTCCCTCAGCATGGAAATATCACTCAAGAAATCAGACCTTTCCCGGTAAGATAACAATTTAAATATCTGCCAAGTCAGCATCATCTACACAGATGAGAGGCTTAGTCTCACAGGTGGACTGATTAATTAATGCCATGGATGTTATTCCTCTCCAGGCTGCTCTGAGGTCGTTACCACTAACCTGAATTTCAATTGTATTAGTATACTTTAGTTTTGCCTTCCCTGTTTTAACCCTAACTTCCCTGGAGACAGCTGTTATCTCCAGGGGTCTGCAGAGTGAAATGGTCCTTTTATTTTTATTGATGACTGATTTAACTTCTTTTGGGACCCAGGGTTTATTATTTGGGTATCAACAGTGTTTTAGTTAGTGACGGAATCCACACAGAAGGTTCATGCGTTGCCAATCTGTAATTTTTACTGTCCCCTCCTCACACTCCAGGCGCCTGAAACAAGGTTTGTACATGGATAGATAGTCACTGTTATGGATAAAGTTGGGTGCGTCTTGGCAGAGTCCAGTTTATGCGCGATATCAGCTGAGCAGCAGCTGACATGTTTGCTCCCAGGTGAATGTACACTAGTTTGTCAAACCACTGTTGAAATTAGAAATGAATGTAATGGGGTTGGGGAGAAATAAACAATAAGTCTACATCCGGGGTACAAATCCTCTGACAACTCTGTCCACTAAGACTTTTTCTGGTAATCCGGAAAAAGAATGTATCAGCAGAATAGATTCAGGTTCAGACAGTAAAATAACCTTGAGAGTGCTTCAGATGAAAATACACTTAATCACCTCTTTAGCATTTTTCTTCAGTAGTTGACAGTCAAACAGATTTAACTCATTTACAGTTTGTATAAGTGATTTTTTTAACAACTGTTTAACTGAACTGTAAAATATTTATGTTATTTTTATAATAATGAGTTTTAATTAAACACATGCTCCTAAGAATGGTTCACGAGAGAAATTAATATAACTGTTTAAAAAGGGGGCTTGGGGATTTCTATCAGCTATCAGTCTAGAGAGAGCCAACCTTAAGAAAAGTGTCATAGCCAATGAGAATGACGGTGATCAGATGCTCTACATTATTTGAGCAGCCCTGATATCCAATAATGACATCAATTCCTCTTATTGTTATGAGAGGAAAAAAACATTTACAGTGAAGGAGGCTTTCACCTAATAGATATTTTCTGGGAAATAAAGTTGGTCTGTCATACAAAGACACAGAAGTCAAGTTTTAGCGTTCCAGATTTTTATCTTACAGCAATACTTAATGAGTTGGTTTCTTGCCATCATCTGTGCTCTAGTTTATACACGCACAAAAATCATCTATGCTCTATGAAATTGTCAGCAGTAGGAGGGTGGAAGATAACGGTGACACAGATTTGCTTTATCAGCCATGCACTGAGGGATTCCAGCAAAACAGTGCCACAACAGAATAGTTTAACTAGCTCCAAATTCTGTTGCCTCCAGATTCTCTCTCCTTTTCTTCCCTTCTTCCTATCCGTTTTCCTCTTTGTGTCTATCTGCCAACTCCTAAAAAACATTCTGTTGTCATGTCTGATTAAAATTATGTCTGTGAGGGAGGATAATATCCCTCTGTAAATGTGTTTTCAAACAAATGTCCCATCTAATTATCTGGCAGGCCGCTTGATACGACTCCCTAAGACTGGGGAGAAAAAAGGAGGGAGATAGAAGAGAAGAGAGCATTGGAGGGAGAGGAAATAAATAAATAAGTAGTAAACTGTGTGTATTTGACTGAGCAAGGACAGGGGAAAGAGGCAGGCTCAGGGAAAGGAGAGGAAAGACGGGATTACAAAGAATAAATCGGGAACAAAGGAAAGAAAACAACGGCTGCAAAAGCATGTCTGGGCTGTGCGCGCCTGTTCCCCAGACTTGTCTCTGCATAGTCAAAATCCCTGTTAGACAACAAAGGCGAAGGCTAGTCATTGTATTTCCTGGATATAGAAGAGCTCGGCAAATTAAAGCTGCACTAGGGAGGGAGACGGAGAGAGAGAGACACACAGAGGCTAAATTCTGTTCCTATGGTAGCAGTGGCTTCCTTTGCTGCTCACAGCATAGTTAAAGAGTGGTATCTTCGATTAATGGTGTGCGCGCGTTGACACATTTAGGTGGGTGCACACAAGCATGCCTCTCAGGCAACAGTCTATTGCAGAAATAGAGATTTTTGCATTTCTCTGATAGCAGAGTTGGGAGTTTTTTTCTGTGTCACATACATATGCACACAGCTAGAGATGCACGCTGCTTGTACCAAAGTAAATGACCCAAATGTAAAGGTTAAAAGAAGAAACGATATTGCTAAGTGCTGTTTTTAATCATGCAGGAATAAAGAAGGTGAACACACGCGCACTCTGAACAGGGTCTGCACTCTCAAATTAGTTCTCACACACTCACTCTCTCACACACACACACCCACACCAGGCGCACCTATACACACAGTGAAGTGCCTTAAGGACTGTGTGTTTCCTACTCTTAGTGCAATGCCCAGATTACTTGAACTCCCTGTCTTTACATCCTAATTAGTGAGAGGATGTCTTTGTGCATAATTACTCACAAATCCCCCCTACAGGAAATGAATGCATTACCCTAACCAGGCATAGCGAGAGAGACAAGTAAGGAGGCTTATAAAGGAAGGGATGTAATGAGACATCCGAAGAATTGGGATTTTAGATCTTCCTTAATGTTATTGACTGTTAAATTACCATGCTAAACTCATTTGAGAAGACAAATGGGGTGAAGAATGTAAACAGGAACACACAAATCAGCGCATATTCCAGTCTTTAAATATTGCACAATGTCATTTAAAGTGTGCTGAACTCTAGCATGCATGTGGGTGCATGTTTAGAATTTACAACCCAGCGATACCTGTCATTTAGCTCTATGTGCTCTTGTGAAATCTTGCCCCAAAGAAATTAGGGTGTAGTTGCAGTATGTAAAACCATCATGTCGAATTTTTCAAACTTCTGCTGTCCAGGCCACACAACTTGAGAGGGAAAAAATATATACCTTTCGCAATCATAGTGTACTTACATAGAAAGAGCTACCTGTCTAACCAGCTTCACCAACTGGTTTTCAAAATGTCATTTTTACTAATAATGTACATTTCGTGTGGCCGTGCCTGCCTGCAGCTTCAGGCTACACAGCTTTACTTCTCTGCAGGAAAAATGACACCAAAAGAAGAGGAGGAGAAGAGAAGGGGGTGAGTGAGTGAGAGAAAGAGCAGATTTGAAGTTGAGAGCAGCTCCTGTATTTTTCTCTCTCCTGTCCTCAGGGAGAAGATAACTGTCTGTCTTGCGCTCTCATTTGTTGCTTACCCCAGGAAAAAAAAGTCTGATACAGGAAAACTTGATAGCCTGCAAATACACTCACTCTACCAACAGTTACACACTCACTTTCTAATGTGTGGTGTCTGAGTGTAGACAGACGTACACGTAGCCTATACAGCCATGTTTCACACTTGCGCAGCTATAAAGCAGACAATTAGTCATCGTCGGTTTTCTTTTGCTTTGTGTGGATTTCTGTCTGTGTGGAGGCCTGCTGCGAGGTTGGAAGAAGTGAGAGAAAGAGCGAGGGAGGATGAGAAATCATTAAACCACAGATTGTATTATATAGATGGATGGAAAGCTGGGGGTATTAGCAAGATTCTGGCTGCAAATGTACCCGCTGGAGCCAAAGATTTGTGCTGGTTTGGGGGTAGATCTGTTGATGCATCTGTGTATGGATGCTGGTGCGTTTACATACAATTTGTAAGTGCAAGTGTGTGTGTGCGTGTGTGTGTGTGTGTGTGTGCGAGAAAAAGAGAGAGTGCCAGCCATTTACTTGTGATGCTGAGGATAGTGTTTGACAGAGCATTACTACTGGCCATGCGGGTGTGTTCAAACAGCTTTCCTTATGAAGACAGCAGTCAGGAGGAAGCGTGCTCAAGACTGTTTACAGCTCTGACAACTGTGTGTATGTGTATGTGTGTGGGTGTGTACGCTTCCCTGTGAAGCTTGGAGCCGTAAGAATCTTCACATCCAGATCCACAACTTTGACAGACTGTAAATTCCTTCGAGAGGAAACTTCATACACCTATAACTGTCATTATTGTGTGTGTGTTCACTAGTGCATCATTGTGTTGTTTGTACCACCCTATGATACCTTACACATTCAAAGCAGTTCAGACGAATGCCATGCAGTTGCAATGTAGTCTGAAGTACCTAAATTCAACACCTTTAGTGACTGTTCATGTCTCAATGTGCAGCTTTGGAAGTGCCGACTGCTCTCTGAAGTGCTACTGACACATTTCCACTGATGCATGTTGTCTGTCTGCACTCATGGGAAGTGTAGTTAAACAGCTATCACGAATGCACAGTGTTTACCTCTGCAGGGATGTTGCCAGGCATCTGAGCACACAGTGTGAGGAGTCTCCTATTAAATCTAAACAGAGCTGTTGAGTCTGTAGCAGCTGTTGTACTGGGAAAGTAGAGCTCAGTGCATCAAGGTGTTAGCAGGCATCAAAGCCCCTCACACTGAACAGATTTGCAGTAAAAGCCTTTCTGCTCCATTTAGAGGCGTGTTCTGTCAAACCTGCCTGACAACTAGCAGACTGGCTCCGTTGTTGTGTACAAAGTTGAACTCTTTGCAAGCATCAGACTTAACTGGGTTGGAAGTCTTTTTAAAATGTATTTCAGCTAGCTGCTTGTTTTTGAAAAGGTCTCTTTAGCTGTATCCTAAAGCATTAATAAACATCCCTACATCCCCGAGGTAAACATACAGGTATAGAATCAAATAAGAGGTATTTGTTTTCTTGCTGAAAGTGAATGACGAGGCTGAAACCGTTCTTAAGTCTCGTCAAAAAAGCATGCTACGTTGAAAACCTTAGCTTAGCTTAGCACAACGACAGGTATCAGGGGGGCAGCTAGCTTGTTATATCCAAAGTTAATCTTGTTTTTTTCTCAATCACTTGGCATGGCAACAACATGTATCACAGTTTATGTATAAATTAACCACAAGTGTTAAGGTTGTCAGGTTTTGAGGTACTTGAAGGTTGATTATAGTTCTTTTTGCATATGAAGAGAAAGCGTTCAATTTCGTGGTTTCAATTCTTTACTCTAAGCTCGGCTGAGCTAAGAGTCTCCTTCTCTAACTTGTCAAGCGTTCAGAAAAAAAAGAGTGTCCTACTGATATTCTCATCTTACTCTTGCGAGGAAACAACTCAGGGTAGGGACCATATGTCTTGCATTAACCTGGACTGTCCCGCTTTCAAGCTCCGTGTCCTGAGTCCCAACAAATATTTACACTAACATGTCTCAGTTTTTACAAAGTCCCTCTCCCGATTTCGTATGCTTGCAACACTGATTTGTCTGTGTATATGTCGATCAATGTTGCTGCCTAGGCTGTGGCTGTTTTGACCAATAGAGAAAAAATCACTAATGCACCACAATATAAAGTTCAATACTGATTTGTCTGTACATGTGTCATTCAATGTCTTGCGGCTGTTGCTTGGCTAGCCTAGCGGATCATACTAACAGGACCTACTGTGTAACGACAGGTAGGGCTAGCTGCCGTGTCAAAAAGGAAGTCAGAGCTAAGAGCTCAAAGGGGGGTTACAGATTCCTTCAAAAAAAAATACCAGGCAATGAATATGCCTGGGCTGCTCAGGGGGGCACCTCTGCCTACCATCTTGTGTAATCAGTGCAGGTCTGGTGACATATGAAATATTATGTTCTATTACAAGCAATGCAATCCTTCTGTTGGTGTTATGTTAAACACATTTTTGAATTCAAATTCAAAATGGTCGATTTTGGGAGCCGATTGTTTGGTGTTGAAAAGGAGCGCTGATGCAAAAGCTAATTGTACCATGAGCTCATACATGTGGGTTTGCAGTAAATTGAAGTGTCCTAATTTTGAGGTTTGAAAATTTGGTCAGCCTAAGGAATGGTATCCACCAAAACTATCCATTTCACATCTCCTACCTCATCATCCGTCTTTTTAGTTCACCTTTTACTCTGCCTGTCAGATAATGGGTAATGACTAGAAACAAGAGTTTGTTCACCTTGTACAATTAATGTCTTTATTACAGTCCGTCATGTTTTCTTAAATTCCCTCTCTCAGGGTGCTGTGATCACCCCGACCGCAGCCATAGAGCCCAGTTTGTCTCTTCACCCTTCCAGTGTAATGGCTCCTCTCGCCCAGCAGATGAACCACCTGTCTCTGGGTACTACAGGCACTGTAAGTTTCCACTTTGACTTCCTCTTAAGTATCTTGCTCGGCATTTAACAGTATATTTTATTTATTTCAGTTGTAATACATTTTATATAATTAGTCAGCCAAGTTTCCAACTGTTATTAAGATAATCTCACATCAGAAACCACTCGTATAGAGAACGCCATTTCCTGTTTATTATACATATGACATTTGCTTTGACACAGACAAAACAGAGCTGAGGACATATTGTTTTACCTATATTATACGACTGTCTTCACCTCCTCCCTCCCTCTCTCTGCAGTACATGCCTGCTGCAGCTGCTGCGTCTATGCAAGGAACCTACATTCCCCAGTACACTGCAGTGCCTGCCTCTGCCATCACAGTGGAGGTAAGGACAGATAGAGGTTGTTTAGTGACTTAAGCCTGGTTACGCTCTTTAAACAGCACCCTGTAGGGCTTGACAAGGCTCAACTGCTTAAAATAGTGAGACTTAGACACTCTGTTGTGCACATCATCTTGGGGGAATTACATTTAAGTAAATGAAGCCGTGGTTTACGTTGGTCCTGCCAGTTAAGTGAAATCTCAATTTTAGTTCATTGGAACTGAGAAAACCTGTTAAAGTCTTTCTATGTGATTTTTCACACTTAAATATAATAGAAATCAAGTAAATCCTCTGAAAATAACTCTGTGAGTCATGACTGTCTACAATGGGTGTAACACCCGAGTCCCACTGTCTGTGATGTTTTCAGAATTTTCAGAGTCCTATCTTCAGTTTGTTTACATCGCCAGGACGGCCGGCTGACTCCTCCCCTCGAGTATAAAAGTTGTTTAATTGAGGGACTAGAGAAAAGAAGAATAACATACTGTACTCACTGCTTAACTGTGTTTCTAGATCACGCTCATTTCAGGTAAATTTACATGCAGTGTGAAGATACGAGCATAATAAAGATCGCTAGCATTAGCATGCTAACACAACAATGCACCTCAAGTTGTTTTGGTTTCATGCTGGTGCTCAAGGGCGACATCTGCTGGATGAAAAAAATCGCATATAAAGCCTTTAAGTAAGCCACGATGATGTCAGAATCAGGTGTGATTTAGTGTCATCCAGGGTGGAACATTGCCAAATAAATGAACTCATTCTTAAAAGTGGAGAGGCACTTGTATGGATTCTCAGATGAGAAGAAAAATCACATTGTTTTTTTTTCTTATTTGTAATGCACCAATTCATAACAAATGTTATATCAAGATACTTCACAAAAAGAGCAGGTGTAGACCATACTTTTTGTTATATTATTTACAAAGAACCAACATTAATCCCCCATGAGCACAGCACTAAGCAAAACTCAGCAATGTTACAGTGGCAAGGAAACACTTCCTTTTATTCCTCGAGCAGAACCAGACTCATGTTGACTGTGTTAGGGTTGAGAGGGGGGATAAAGGGAGAGACAGAGAAAGACGGATAGAGATAACAATATGTTGCTATCATTTAAATGAATACAGTATTAACAACAATACTGACTTGTTTCTGTGACTGTGTTTGGGGTTTCAGGGCGTGGTGGCTGATGCATCTCAGCAGACAGCAGCCCCCTCCTCGCAGGACGTCAGTGGGCAGCAGCCTTTATCAGTGGAGAATACAGGAGATCATGCCACAGCCTACTCCTACCAGCAGTCTAAGTGAGTTCATGGATGTCTCTGTTACGTAAGTCAGAAGTTAATAGTTGGTAAAACAAAAGAACTGATGATAATATGAGATTCTGATTCATTTATTGCTTAACCGTAGTGTTAACTACACCTAATGCCCCGATTACACAAGAGGCCAAGACTTTTCCTGTCTGCAGTTAATTTTTTTTCAGTCCATCCAGTAACTTGAGACATAAGAATTGTGAAATAGGAGGAGAGATGACATCTGCAACGCGATATCTGCATTTAAACATAGATGTCATTTCTATGCTATGCTGGTCTATGGTTCGGGGGATTTATTTCTTGCCCACAACCCAAAACCGCTGAAATGGGATTTGATGATATGACTCGGACTGCAAACAGATACTTTTGACACACAAAGTCTTATCTCTTGTCTGCATTTCTACATTCCTATACAGTCTGCTTATACACACTATATAGCAGTGTCTTTAGAAAGCTAAGGGATTGACGGTACACAATTTGACATCAGTGTTTCCCCTAGGTTTACAGCTTTGGGGGTGGGGAGGGACACACACAGACACGCCGACACAAACACTCTTGGTGTTCATGTGTTACTTTTAATGACAGCTGTTCTTTTCTATCGGAAAGGTGTCCTAAATGACTTCTTTCCCTGATTTCCGACTCTATCCACTATCCTATCTCTACAATAAAGGCACAAAAAGCCTTTATTGTAGCCCTAACCCAAAATAAATCTAAAAAAAAAAAATAATAATAATTTTACTTGACCTTCAAGGTGGGCGGGGGCGTTGGGGGGCGGGCCGCCCCCCCTAATATAATGGTAGGGGAAACACTGGACATGATCATCTCGGT